TGCTGTGGTTCCAATAATACATTTACAGTCAACTGTAGAATATCTAGTAGGGAAAAAATGTCCCACACTAACTTTGTCCTATTACAGCACCACACTCACATTGAGTGAGCTCTTTACAATGACCCACTCTTTCACGGATGTTTGCAAAGGCAGATCGCATGGCTAGGTGCTTGGTTGTATATGCATTTGGCTAAGAACAGAAAACAATGATTGCAAGGTGTGGCCCAATTCTTTTGTCCATATACTGCATTATGTACTGCATTTATTAAACTGATGATAAAGTGTCATTCACATTTTCAAATGGGATTTGAGATGATGATCTCCAAGTGTGAGATAAGTGAAAGACATTTCTATAGATACGCAATCATGTAGAGTACAAAAAGAAACAGCCTGTAGCTGATGAATATACCATACGTACAAGTAAACATTTCATGGAAATGTCATCTGGGTTGTTTACTAGTACCTTTATCTTTTATTTCATTTCCTGGTTCATTTGCATCAACTGATAAGAAACCATGACCCTGAATAACATTTTCTGTAATTCTAACTTTATGCAAGTATCTCGTGAAATAATATTTGTTTGTACCCGTCATATGCAAATCTGTGTTTAGTCAGTGTTTATTAGCACAAAACTTCAGCTGACCTATCATGCATATGAAACTGATATGAATCTATGACTGATCGCTATAATGTAATTTTTCTCCAAAGTCAAACGTGAAGAATGAAAAAATATTTCAAGAAGCACTCGTGTTCTTAAGTTTAGAGTAAAAACACAGACGCCTGCAGCAGTTGAATATGATGTTTGAACTGTAAACAGCTCGTGGAAAGGTCACCATCTGCAAATTCATTCAGCTGTTTCCCCATATCGTTTATAATCTGCCATTATACTCGTTGATCCAGATGTAAATCATATATTAGGATATGGAAAAATTTGCCTCTAAATTGCATCTCCTACCATTTTAACTTTCCCTGAATAAATAAATAAAAAAGTAGGTCACTCACCTGTTTGCATAAGCACAGATGTTGTCTATAAGAGGGCAGTTTTTCAGTGCAGATTCCACTTTACCGAGAGACACGTACTCTCCAGCCTGCAGTTTCACCAAATCTTTCTTGCGGTCTTAATGAGAAAAAGTAAATGATAAATGGACTGATTTTTATATAGCACTTTAAAAAAAACAACCAAAAACTCTACTTAAGCACTCAAAGGGCTTTATACAATACGTATCATTCACAGTAGCATCCCACCCCTGCCCAGAAAAAGAAATATACACACCAACAATTTGTAGACAGCCATCTGGGTAAACCTCTCCTACATCTCCGGTGCAGAACCATCTCTGACCATTTTCATCCACAAAGAAGTCCTGATTGTTGCCTTCACTCCTGTAGTAGCCCATGGTTACATTGGGGCCACCGATCAAGATCTCCCCTCTTGGATTTGGCTTGTCTTTACTGGTGTAGCCACCTGAGTGAAAATAAAAACCACATGATTACGCTGCAATGGAGATCTTTCCATTCTGCAAAAGCGTGTCCCAGCATGTTTTCCCCCCCAAACATACCTTCAGCCCAGTCCCTGAGTCTAATCTCACAGCAAATCAGAGGAGCTCCAACACGACCAGTGCTGATGTCTTCAACTGTAAAATGAAAAACATTTCTTAATAACAGTCATTTAAACATTATTTTCAATTTAGGCCCATCTGTGTCTATCCTGAGGTATTTGTTTATCCAGTGTGACTATTGGCCAGGCTCACTACAATAATGACTGCTTCCAGTCAGCAAATCACTAGGGAACTGAGGCACTTTAGTTAATCCAACTTAAAATAAAACTGTAAGTCAGGATTTGTTTCTTTTAAATTAAATAATGCCTAAATTTGAACTCATCTGTCATTATTTTGGGCACTCAAAATGTTATCTTACCCTCTGTGATAGTGCCTGCTCCACAGGTCTCAGTGAGGCCGTAGCCCTGGCCCACTGGACAGCAAAAACACACATTCATAAATCTCTGAGTGGCCGAGGACAGGGGGGCTCCTCCAGACAGCATCATCCTGACTCGCCCACCCAGCAGTTTCTTTACTTTCCGGAACAACAAGCTGCAAAGAGAGATCACGCAGTGTTTTGATTTTAAGTTAAACAAGCCAATCGTGTTTTAGTGCAAGGGTCACAGGAACGCATAGGATGCTCCTTACGCATTGCAGAGTGGTGCGTCATAGCCCCTCCTGATCTGCTCCAGTTTATAATTGTAGCCCAGTGTAAACAGCATCTTCTGAACAAAACCCATTTCCTGCACTTTGCTCATCACGTTCTTGTTGATGCGATCCATGATTTCCTTTTTGGACCAAACATATAGGAGTTATTTAGACACCAGTTGACAAACAAAATAAAATAAAGAAAGACACAAACAGGATAAATAAAAAACAAGGTTCTTACTGGCACAGCTGCCATCAGTGTGGGCCTGAGCACAGAGCAATCTCCTTTACTTCCCTTCTTTATCCTGGTAGACTAAAGAGGAGAAGGAAAAAAATAAAAATTGAAATAATTGTCCAACTTTTGTAATGTAACTCCTCCTCAATCTGCCCTGCTTCCCACTGATGTGACTAATGTGGCCACAGACTACAGAATCTAATCGACAAAGGCAAGATCAAGTCACACTGGTTTGTGGACAAACTCATGCCTCAAGTTTTAATAAAACCAGACATTATTAAAGTGTTTCTCATCATTTCCAACAGATTTGTTGCGCAGTTAGCAAAGCTTCCAGTGGGCTAAGTTAGGCATCTCCTTTAAGTAAGATTAAAAAAATAAATATAAAAAGCTGCTTTTTTGGAGAGCTACTGTTCGCCATGATAAACACGATTCACATCTGGTTTTGTGAACTCTCGTTTCCTCAAATCTTTACAATGTAGATAAAGTGTGGACCGATGCCACGGCACGCAATCGTCACAATGGCCACGTAAACTGTGAAAAACAACAGCTTGAAATAAACCAGACTTTTCATCTAAATATTAACAGCAACACCACTAAGAGTCAATTAAAATATAGACTACAGTGACAGAAACAATGCAACCTGGCGTCGGTGCTGCTTACCTGGTCTGACAGTGTCTGTGGGGACGAATAGCCAATCCGACAACCATATGTGACACAGGAGATTTCAGCTGTCATTTCCAGAACATGAGCCAGGGGCAGATAGGCTATGTAGGTATCATTAGGCCTGCCACAGTAGAATCATTGAAAGTCTTGGTTAGATTCAACGATTAGTAGACATTTTCAGTTCCTCTTTCCAATGTTTACACTGAGGATCTTTGACTGCACTTCCTTAGTTCCAATTTGAACTTAAACTTTCTTTTTTTCTTAGATTTCTTCACATCTCCAAGTAGCCTTACTAAAATACTACAAATCAGCCATTGCTGCAACTCACCCGAGCCCAGGGATGCGTTCACACTGGCCTGTCATTCCTGCAATTAGGTTACTGTGGACAATGACAACTCCTTTGGGTCTGCCTGTGGAACCGCTGGTGTACATCACAACGGCCAGATCGGATGGCCGGGGCTCAACAATTGCCCTAGCCACTGTAGAACAAAGGAAAGCGTTACAGTCTTGTACTGTGCCTGAAATAGGACAAAAAGCACAACCAGAGTGAGTCAGAAATACACACCATTCTCCGGCTGCCTGCCCATCTCTCGTACGGACTGCATACTGCGGATGGAAAGCCCTGCTGGGTAGCCTTCTGTGTTCATTTTCTTGTCATCCACATAAATCACATGCTTCAGGTTGGGGATCTGTGGCAGTACAGTCTATGCAGAAAAAGCAAAGAGTAAAAATGTTACAGGAGGATGCCCAAGTACAAGATTTCCTTCTATAAACAACATTTTTTAAAAAGTGACAGTCCTTTGGGATTTTCTTTGTAACAGAAAGCCAGTAAATGCATCTTTAAAAAAAAATAAAAATGCTTTAACAAATCAATTCTGTGTTCCTTATTTCATCCATGAAGCTGTGGACAAAACATTATTCTGGGTTTTCCAAACTTTAATGTTAACAATTTGCTACATCTTAAATTATAATCATGTGATGATAATTGAGGCTGTTAGATGGTAAACAAAGACGTCTCATGAGAATAATCATATCACTGCTTCTCTTGTTCTTAGGAGTGGTGGTTGGACCATGTGCTGTAAAGGATTAACTCACTTTCAGCTTAGTCTCAAGGAGCTCCACGCTGGTGACCAAATGTGAAACACCCGTCTCATTCAGTCCAAAAGCAATCGCCTCCTCCCCCAGTGTGGCGTAGAACGTCACCACTGCAATAATAATATTGTTTAAAAAAGGATCTCAGTGAGTGAGATAATTAAATTATGAAACACTTAACACAGCATTCACGCTATCTGACCCCAAAACCTTGGATTGAACGCGCTGAGATATACTTACGTGGGAAATTGTGTCTGAAGCATGCCTGAGCAGTGATCATCCACTCTGCCCTGGTTTCACAGAAGACTGCAATAGTGCTTTTGGGTTGCTGCCCCAAAGCCGCCAATCCACTGCCAAACTCACTGACTATGGAGTCGAGTTCATTGTAGGATAACCATTTGTACTCCCCCAGGATCAGCTAAAAGGAGAAAGGGTCACATAAATAACACCGAACATCTCTGATCACTTACGCATCTGTCAACAGAGCAGTAAACTCTAAGCAACCTTACCTTTTTAAAAACTTTGCCGTTGGGCTGAGTCTCGTTCTCTTCGCTCAGAATCTCTCGGGTTCCTAGACAATCAGCTTCACCGAAGCGCTGCACAGCATGCTTGAACAGCTTATCGAGTGTGTCCTTGCCTGGGAAGTCTTCCCTGGCCAGGGAATCAAATCGGTCCACGGAGCGGTATGGTCCCTCGGCACATCCTGATTTGGAACGGGCTTTTATCCTCTTGGACAGAGCTTTTCCTTGGCCAGCTCCGGTGAGGTAGTACCAAGGCAGGAATGAGACTATTGAGTACAGCCATATGATAAGGTGGATTGGAAAAAGGAGGATAGATTGGAGGACAGAGTCTGACTGAAGACCCATGCTTTTTTCTGGAAGGGAGCTGAGCAGCAGGTTATCAGAAAACTTTCAAGCTTGGTGGTCCCAAAGATGTTTGAGGTGCGTCAAGAGAATTGTGTTGGACGGGAAGAGGGGAAAAAAAGCTCTTAAACTCTTAAGAGTCCCACAGTTGTAGCATGTAAATATTTGGTCCACAAAATGCTTAAGCTAAAGTTGAGACAGAAAAGAAAAACAAAAAACACAATACAGTCAATTGATACAGTTCATTCATCAGCTGCCTGTGAGATCACTTAAATAACTCAAGTTAAAAGTCAAAAGCAAGAAAGTTGATTTTCACCCAAATACCTATTGCATGCCAAGAGATGTCACAAAAGGGAGGTTGGCTGGTTAACTAAGTTTGTCTGGTGGTTGACTTCTTGCTTAAAGGAACTCTGACAAAACACTAGATTGGAAATAAAAAGTGAACTATTAACCATCAGTATCTGAGGCTTATCTAAACCGTTCCACCACTGTGCTACCTCTTCTTACAGACAGGAAGACTGCACTACACACGGCAAGTATCCACAGCCTCACCACCTCCTCGCTGCGTACCAAACCGCCTCTGTATGTCTGAACGTTTTCAGTGCTCAGCTCCTTATAATGTCCTCTGCTGCACTCAAACACCTGCCTGCTTTTAAACAACAGGTCAACTGAAAGGTCATGGAGGGATGAAGTAGTGCGGAGATGTGGTCACTCTGACCAGACTGGCTACTGTCCAATGAGGATTGTGCTGCAGACAACCAATGACAATACTCTTTAGGCTCACCCCACTTGGTGGTCAGGGAAGGGTCACTATAGAGCAAGCTCAGCCTGCTGATATCCTCAGAGTGCAGAGGCGGTAAAGTAGTTAAAACGAATTGTGTCTCATAATTGCAAAATGTAGTCAATATCCACGTTTGCTCTGTGGCTAAACGTCACGTGCTGAACCCGTTTAGCACGTGACAAAGTAATTGTAGCCTACGGCAGTCAGCTATTAAGTGGAAAGTGTCTTCATGGCACAAGACAGACACCGGTTACCTGCAAATAAGAGAACACTGTGTACTTAGCTACATTAAGACATTTATGGAAAGAGAAGGTCAAACCACGTAACTGGCTTTCCCAATCCTGAAAGCTCACACTCTTCATCGTGAATCATTTCCGTGAATCATATCCTCAGTGTACGTCACATCTGTCCATACATCTTAAAGAATGACAGTACACCCACAGATGAATCAAAGCGGCGGAGAAAGAAATATTTATATGTCAGGATCTTTTTCTGGGCTCTTACTGTGGAAATAAAAATACCCTGAAAACATTCCTGTGTGATGACAGGACGTGCGGATGGTGATGATGATGATGATGGAAAAGCCATGGACCACTAGCTTAAAACAGTTTTTCCTCTCTCTCTTGGGTGGAATTGAATAAAAGCAAATTCAAATCATTTTACACGGGAATACGGGAGTGAGTGGTTCGATGCAAATCTCCTCACACGTCTATATCTAGTTGTGAGTGATAAACACGTTATCTAACGGTAAAAAGCCAAACACTGCATATCCGTTTAGGGCAGGTATTGCTAACAAAAGCGACAGTTTAATACCGGGAAATGCTAAAGTTGTAGCCGGGGTCTGCCGTTTCCACTTGTAACACGTTACGCTAAAACACCATGAAAAACAATACGAGCTGTAATTGAAATTAAAGCGCCTTTCTTGCCCCCTTTACATAATTGGTGTGCTTCAAAATAAGGCGAGCTGGGAAGCAAATCTGACCTCCTTATCTAGCACTGAAACGACAATGGGTCAGGAGCGGCATGGCAGACGAAATGACGACAAAAAGCCGCCGCACATTGCTGGCACGGCGCGTCTCACTGGCAAGTTGATTAACGTTAGCTGCTGTCGCTTAAACCTGCTCAATATTAGCAGTACATATTAACTAACGGATAAAGGCTATAATGAGATTACAGCGGTCAGCTAGAGAGTGATACCATGCTGTATTGGCAGGCTGGCAGCGTTCTTACCTTCAGCTGAAGAAAGCCCGGTCAGCCGTGTGCCGCTCTTTCACAAATGACCGAAAGTTACCTTTTGTTGGGACCTAGAAACCCGGAACCACTACGTCATCTGATTCCATATTTCTCGACCAATGAGCAGCCAAAGCGGATTTGCGCTCTCTTATGCTGCTACGTCCGCTTAAAAAGAAAAAGAAAAAAAGAAAAAGGTAACAGGAAATCAGTAATGCGTATGTTCTCTGGCTCTGTTACAGCACCTTTATTTTTCTTTCATCATGTAATGGTTATGTGTGTATTTTACCGAAGTTTACATCCAAACAAAAGCAAAATAATAATAATAATAATAAAAAAGTTACCGTACTTGCACTCTTATCTAATATATTTTGCAGATAGATCTGATAATTGAGATCAGATCATTTGTTTACATATTATGCAGCTTACACAAATCTAGCTGAGATCTGATAATTTATGTTTATATATGATGGAGCTTACATAACCCCGTATAATATTAGATTGAAACCTGGTTTTTACATTTATGATCCTGCTTTGATGTGTGCCTGATTTGGTATTTTTATTAAAGACACTGAAAATTCTTTCAAGTACAAGCACCATTCCCACTCATTAAAACAACAAATGGTTGCGCACGCTCGGAGTGCACCAGTGAAGACAATGCATTCATCATCACAGAGCATGCCGTGAGGAACACCTTCAGGAGGGTGAACACCAGGAAGGCAGCAGGACCAGATGCAATCCCTGGCCGGGTCCTGAGAGCCTGCGCTGACCAGCTAGCACCGGTGTTCACGGAGATCTTCAACCTTTCCCTGGCCCAAGCAATGGTTCCAAAGAAACAACAGCCCGCTTGCCACAATGACTACCGTCCAGTAGCACTGACTTCAATTGTAATGAAGTGTTTTGAAAGACTGATGAGAGATCACATCACTTCTTCACTTCCTGCCACCATCGACTCATTTCAGTTTGCTTACCGGACTAATCGTTCCACAAACGATGCCATATGTCACCTGCTCCACACATCCCTGAGTCACCTGGACACTGGCAGAGGGAATTAAGTTAGGATGCTGTTCGTGGACTACAGTTCAGCATTCAACACAATAATTCCCTCTGAGCTTTTCACCAAGTTGACGAATCTAGGACTCAGCTCATCACTGTGTCAGTGGATCCTCAACTTCCTCACAGACAGACCCCAATCAGTGAGGGTGGGAAAACAAGTCTCCCCCTCCATCTCACTCAGCACTGGAG